GCCAAAAGTCTCATTGAGTTGAAGAAATCCAGCAGTTAGAGTATGATCTGAAGATAAACCCAGCTGAATCTATAACACAGAGGTATTTAAGAAACTAATCCATAATTTCAATAAACAAATTATCTTTTAAATGTGCTGAACCCACTGAATGCTCATTCATTGATTAGCACAGTTTCATTTTATTATTCCTTATGCTGGATATGGGCTTTTCTCCAGTTCCAGTTTGGTGTAGGACCAAAGCGATCGAGGCAGACTGCATTACCATGGAAACGCAATTATCATGCCATAATGTAGGAGGCATGGATCATGTATGAACCACGCTTAGGTATTGTAATTGTTCACCAACCGACAGAAAAATATCTCAGTGTTCTTTATAACTAAATGTCCTTCTGTCCCCATCGGTTCATCAAAACAATCATATTTTTATTGAAGACCACTTTAAAAATGAGTTTTTCTGAATACACAGAAAAGATTAGGATCATCATGTCCTCATCCATATTAAACATGATCATTGCATATAATGTGTGTTGATTAGATTACCTAAAACAGTGTCTGGTAATCAATTTAAATGCTTGTTGCTTCAACCTATAAACTGTCCATTAGTTACCCAGCAACATGTGATATATCAACGTCGCAGCTGTGAAGCAGCGAGTCGGAGCTCTGAGATGTTTGTGCAACCATATTGTCTCTAAAACACTATGAAGGGCAAAGAAGTGGAATGAAGCATGCTTCCCTGTCCCTGAAGCACACAGAGAGAGACTGCTTGCTCATCAATTATTCCTCAAAGGAAGGATTTTAGCTCAGCTTTGCTCTAAGACACACCTCACCCATGATGGAGCAGGTGTTACAGAAAGGCTATAAACAGATTTAAATAGGATTCTTCCTCCCAGCTCCTCCCTCCTGCAATTTAAATATGATCAGTTCATCAATAAAGCACAACTGTTGCAGAGTAAAACTCAGTAGGAATTCTTTAGACTTTGAATATCCAATGGACTCACTTCATCTTAGATGGTTTCATTTGGTATAGATCTCCGATATTTAGGAGATAAAAGCCCAAAAAGCCCTCTGCACCAGAAAGTACAGTGGAAACATAAAGGTCAGAGAATAGATTTTTTTTCCCCTTTGCTTTGAAATGTTAGCTGATCATGAAAACCTGAGGCTGCAAAAATGCCTGAGAGCTAAAAAAAAAAAAAAAAAAAAAAAAAACAATAACATTCAATTTCAGCCTCATCATCT